GGAAGAGGGGAGGAGTTGAAGGTAGAAGGGGGGCGGGAGGACGACGAGGATGGTGAGGACAAGCGGCAGGTGTAAGGTAATCCCCCTCGTCCATTTTCTGGTCTCTCTCCGCCCTCTCCTGCTCCCCAAGCCCCCGGATCCTCCCACCCTCGCCGCCCCCCGCCTCCTCTCCCGTCTCCCCCGTCCGCCCCCCTCTCCGCACCCCTCTCCGCCTCCTCTCCTCCGCCCACCCCGCCGTTCGGGGGGGGAGGGGGGCGGGCGGGCGGCGGCGGCTGGGCTCCCGCAGATCGCATCCTGCATGACCGTGGCGGGGCAGCTCCAGGCGACCCAGCCGACGCCCCCTCGTCGCCGCCAGCGAGGGCAGCCGAAACATCGCAGCGGGCACATGCAATACGGAGTCGACCCACGTAGCAAGGATGAGCAACCGTCCCAAGGGTACTCCTTGCCTCCTCTGTCCATCCTTGGCCCCTTTCGTTGGCCGCTCCCCGCTCGAGAAGTTTCGAAGTGGGCGTCCAAGCCCCTTGCATCCCTACCCCGCATCCTTGTGATACGGGCCGGCTGTAAGACGAATTGCTATAATATGCCAAGGGGCACGTTCTTCGTTGACCTCTGGACTTCCTCGGGTGCCCCTGGGCTTCTCTGTGTGTCCCCGGGGCCATCGTGGGGTAAGAATTGTCAGCGGGACACCCGCTGGATTCCGCCGCGGTGAAACCGTCAGCGTGTTACGTATTGGTGAAGAGACCAGGCAGTCGGACGGAACGAAGGAGTAACCCACTGACGGCTTTCAACGGCGGCGTGTCCTAATACCCATCTTCCTCCTTTTCCCCTCGTCTCCACCTCCTGTTGGGTCTTCCCTCACTTCAATGTTCATTGGAACTCGAAGCTTTGCGAAGCTGGTCGCGCAAGTACATCGTCATATTTGAGCACACTCCCAAACTTGAGTTGGGTGCAAGGCACCACGCTCGTCCGCGGCCGTCCTAGTCCGAAGTTTGGGTGGCGGGAAGCTGGACAAAGACCACTCTGTCTGGTTCCCCTGCCCCTGCCGAAGCCTCCGCAAGGTGTGCATAATGATGACTGCAGGCGGCCTGCTACAACCGACCCATCCGATGATAAGGGAGTGGTGCAGCGAGGGGGCACGGAAAATGAGGTGCCCGAACGGCGGGGATGTTTCAGCACGGCCCACTTTCGACGTTGGGCAGGCTCTCCTAAATCATCTGGGGCATCTGAAGTGGGCGTCTTGCCAAACACGTTGAGGCAACACCGCAACCGGGCGAGGTCGATGTTGTCTCGGTGATCTCCCCGGGGGCCCAATGCTCACCGTCTGGGGGCCATTTTGCTAGGACTTCCCATTCCCAGATAGGTTGCTCCCCCCATAGGTCGCGTCCCTGCCGCTCTCTCCCGTTGTTACCTCCCTGAGCCCTCCCCCTCGGCACTTCTTTCCATGTTCCTCTCCAACCCCCGTGCCCATTTTTCTTTCGATTAAATACACAGAGCGTCGAATCCAGCAGGGGATGCCGCGCATTGTTCTGTGGGCTGGCCAACGGTGCCCGCAACACCGACGAGATGGATCGCATGCAGTCTTGTTCTGCCGCTTCTGCACCTTCACCCCTGTTTCGTTAGCGCTCTGGACAGACAGAACACCCATATTATGAGCGGCGTGGAAGACGATGATCTCGAGACGACCAGATTCACAAACTGGGCGTCCACGACAGGTGCTCCGTTTGGCGCCGCCGAGTCTGGAAGTTCGCGCCTTGTGTCGCGCCACCGCCTGCCGACAGCTGTGCCTGCAGAGTATTGGCAGGAGGGAGGAGGATGGGTGGAGGGAGGAGGGAGGAGGATGGGTGGAGGGAGGAG